GAGAGAGAGAGAGAGTGACGGAGAGCAGGAGTGTGGAAGAAGAGAGCGAGAGAGAGGGAAGAGCCAGAGCCTTAGCCTGCAGGCGGGTTGGGGTTGGGTTGTGACGGGGCAACACGACAAACAGGCAGGGGTGACCGTCGAGTTTTTAATCCGACCCAAACCAAAGCAGTGCGCGACTTCACGCGGGAGCATGCATGCGCATGCATGCTCCTAGTTGGCTGCGGAAGAGAGAGCGAACACTGTACGATGAGAGTGTCGCCAGATAGTTGAGCCCATTCCAAAGGCATGGTGCGGAAGCATCGGAACTTCTGGCGCTATGTCCTGCTGACTGCAGCGCTTGAGGCCGAGGTAGTCTTCTTCCGTCAGTTTGATGCCCTTTGGCTTCACAACTGCTTTGGTACCTGGGTGGGGTCCATGTTCGTCTCTTTCCTCCGTATAGGTGTGTGAGGCTTCAGCGCGCTACGTCGCTGGCACCCGGATTCGGAGCTGATGTGCTTAGCAATTGGACTTTGGTCGCGCTACGGAACTGGACTGTCAGGTCGTGCTGATACGCGTGCTGTTGACTTCGTGGCCCTGGGCTTCAAAGCTACTGCTGGTCGTTTGCGATCCTCTCTGTGGCACGCTATCATTTGCTCTGACGTGGGTGGCGGAGAGGCGCGGAAGAGACAACACAGAAACATCTCAGAACTTCCCCACAGAATCTCTGAGGCCCCACATGGGCATCTACGGCGTCAGTTTGGTGGCCCTGAAAGCTCGGATGTGCGTTGCTTGGCAAAGAGAGGCTGTTCGCACGTAGTTCGAGATCAGCAAAATTCAGACTTGGTGTTGATGCGTAAAGCGGGCAATCAATGCAGCCGCAAATGCCATGCCTTCGGTCACAGCCCTTGTGTGTTGATAAGGCTGCTCACCGCCGGCAGCATTTCGTACAGCCTCTCGCTTAGGTTTGCGTGCTGGCAGCATCCGTACTTGGACTGTCCTGCATAACCTCGCAGGCGGCTGCATGGGAATGCCAGGGGCGCCGGTGTGTGAATGTGGGGGTCAAAGTTCTCCTGGAATGGGTTGTCCTAACTGTCAGTGAGACTTACCGAGGGTTGGAGTTTTCGGGATCTGTGACTTGCAAGTCCATACTGAATATGAACTTGCCGTGAGCCCGGAAGTCCCAAACACTCAAGCCAAGAACTCTAAAAAGCCACGAGGCAGAGAGTCAGAGTGGCGACCATTTCAGGTCTAATCTGCTTCTGCCCCTCGCCATCGAGTATTATGTGTCTTTCCAGTCGTGTGATAGTGATGACCGATTTTTGTTGTCATCAACATCTATGCCTCTTCAGCGCTGTTCGTGGTAATACTGACATGGTTGATGCAATAAGATGTTTCTGTCGTTTTGCTGGGGTGTAGAGAGAGGCACCAAGGCGCGATTCAAGGCAGTAGGCAGTCTCCTCGTTTCTGGGAACCAGGGAATTTCTGCATATGCTGTTTCAAGATTTGGGCCCTGGCTGAGGTCTCTTCTGCTCGGCCTGCTGATGGTGGCATGCCGCGCTGCTACGCGGCCTGCTACCTCCTTGGGTGGCATTGTCTTCGCCTCGGTCATTCAGGAGCATTCAGTCCTGCAGCAAGGTGTTTCGGTGCTGCAGTCGGAGTTGCAGTGGTGATCTTGAGTGCCCAGAGCTTTGCAAGAGATCCCGCGAAGGCAGCATCTTAGGCTTTGTCATCGATGTGGCTATTGTACCGCCAGAAGAGTGCCGGTTTATGCTTGTTTTGCAATCGGAGTTGCCGGAAACGAACGACGAGTGCAAACTCACACGCCAGGGTTTCAAAACCATGTGCTCCCAAACAGGGACAGCGTTCACAGGGAGAGCGTTCGTTTGGGGGTTCTTGTAGATGGGGAGAATTGGGGTCCTTCTTCGAAGCTCTATAGCCCGGCCTTTGGCCTCGCAGGAGCACAGCCTGGTTGCCGAAGAGGCTCGGGAGAAAGGCTCCGCGGACGTTCCCATGAAGACCGCCAAAGAGATTGCGCAGATCCTTGGCCTTGAAAGCAACTACTTCGGCTGAGAATGGTATGATTTTCTAAAATTAAAATGAATGAGGCTGTCATGGGAGTACCAGAATTAGCAGTGATGGATGCTCGTCTTGGTCTTGGCTCTTGCTTCAAGTCTGACAATTGCGAGGGTTAGCTTCAGCCCTGGCTCTGAGTGTGGCACCTGTTGCCTGTACCCGTTGTAATGCCAGTGAGTTGCATATCAGATGCTGGTCGAAGTGATCGCATTGCGCTTCTTGGCCTTCGACTCTTGCAGACTCTACATGTCGACTTAGCGGCGCTTCACGAATGCCACACTGCGCACACAGGCTTGGCTCGTTGTTACTCCATATTGCTGACGTATCTCGCTCTCTCTCTCTCTCTCGCTCTCTTTCTCAGCATCATTATGATAAAGATGTACTGTTAGGCTGTTAGGCTCATAGTTCTGCTGTCAGCCATGCCAAGACACAGTCAGGTTTGAATCTGACTTATGCCTGCAATTGTGTTGGTGAAAGGAGGGCTGCTGATGCCCCAAAGAGCGCAGCAGCGGTCGACGAGGCGAAAATAAGTCACTCCTCTGTGCGGAGCCAGCATAATTGCGGTGGCGAACGGGCCCCTGTTCCGTGCATTTTGCATTCTCTCCATTCCGTGAGTGCGGCAGGCTGGTAAGTACTGGATGCTCCGAGCGGCCCTGGTGAAGCCGCTGAACTCTCTGGGACCCGTCACTGGAAGTGCAGTGCTGGCAGCCGGAGGCATTGGGGCTAAGACGTGAGGGATCCGCTTGGAATCAACGCATGCAGCTTTTCTTGGGTGCCTACTTCTGGTCGCCTTTGTTCGGGCGTCGTTTTTGAAATTGCGGTGCCTTGAGCATAGGATACATTGAGTCAGATGGCAGCACCCAGCACCTCACATCGAAGCTCCTTGGTGGCAGAAGGTTGTTTCATGCGAGGCATTGACGAACGGACTGGGCTAGACAAAGTTGACTGTGACTCAGGCTGTGGTGGACCTGTGCAACGTTGCCGGTGGTGCTGCGCTCAGGGAGCTGACATGTTAGATGCAGCTGTGAGAGAAAGAAGACGCTTCTCTCTAACCGGAAGCCAGACCTACAACCCCAGGACGTTTCGAGTGGAAGCCAAGGTCGTGTCGGCGCTGGTCTCTGCGATTTCCCTCTCTGCCTGGTCTGCATTCTCGCTCCATGGGTCACGGCTTGAGGCCGTCAAGGCCATGCGGCACTCGGAGCAGAGCCTCTGACGAGAAGACAGCTATATCTCTACCTCGAGTTTTCCCCCCCGGGGTGTCCCTCGCCCCGAAGATGGTGCGGCGAAAAGGTCGCACCCTGTCTTGACGCAGGTGCCGTGTGAGCCCGAAAAGCGGCAACGCGGTTGTGTAGCAAAACGGTTCACAGTGCACCAGCACCTGCAGCTTCTCTGCTGCAGCCTCTCAGAGCCTGCACCTGTTTGTGTTCGTCACGCGAATACAGCCGTGAACCTCGCTTTGTTTGAACCGTGTTGTGGATTCTCACGGGGGGGTGACGGTTAGAAGTAAGGGCAAATAAAGGTGCTGTCAGGTTCAGATCCAAGACAAGGCTGCTTCCAGAAACATTGAGTTTATTCAACACTTGATCATGCCTTGAACACTCTGCAAACTCATCTCAGGCTGTCGGTGTGACATGAGACATGAGCTTCAGAGCTTTCTGCCAGTCAAGGTGGGTTTGAGGTAGGAGCAGTAGAATACAGTGTGACTTTATGTCTGTCTGTCTGTCTGTCTGTCTGTCTGTCTGTCTGTCTGTCTGTCTGTCTGTCTGCATGTATGTATGTATGTATGTATGTATGTATGTATGTGTTCATGTATGTATGTGTATGTAGGTATATGCATACACACGCATGCACCTGTGCAAACTTGCAAATCTCTCTCTGTCTCTACGTATATAGGTCCAGGTATGTGCGGATGTACGCCCATATATCTGTATATTCTATTTCTTCGTACGTGTGTATATCAGGGCAGACCACGTCATATCAGATCAACTCCACATTATATCTGCGAGGAGTTGGCGTTAGTTTGTGATTCGGCATTTCGGGGGCTTTGGGCTGCTGATCACAGTGAACTGTTGTGAACACGAGTGCCTTGAATCTTCAAGAACAGCTGAATCCGAAACCAAACAAGGCACAACTCACCTCGGTCCAGATGATGTGAGACGTTGTGTGACGAGGTAGAACAATGTTACTGTCCTCTTGCTTGGGCTGAGGGTCTTGGATGTTCCGTTCGTATTTTCACCCCTTGACAGCGTCAGACCTCATAACTGAACATGGAGCAGAGTGAAGATTCAACTCTATCAGAGCTCACCTACTGCGCGAACTGAGATGGGTCCCCTGCGGCCCGGCTTCTGCTGGTGCCTTCGCCCCTTCGAGGCTTGACAGGTTGCACGTTTCGGCTTGCGTTTGGAGCTGGGTGGTGCGTGCAGACGTTCAGTGTTTCAGGGGTAAACACGGATGAGAGGTCTTGGTTTCGGTCTAGGATCCTCTTGGGCATCAGGCCCGCCCCGCGAAGCGAATGCTGTAACCGTGAACTCCAACTTGCCATGCTTGATATCTATCGTCTCCTGGATCTGTGCCTGCGAGACCTACGACAATGTCGTGAATGCTCGGGTCGGGTCCTCGAAGTTCAAACTCAAGTGGGAGAATGCATGGCATAGTTACGGACTGCAGGTGATATCCCAAGGGCAACTGCAGTCACAAGAACGCTACTACTTATCCAATCAGTCTTCTTGCGTAGTGAACGGAGCACTGAGACGAGAACATATAGCAAAACAACAGTTGCTGATCACACAGCTGCTGGCCACTACCACTACCACTACCACCACCACTACCACTACCACTACAGCTACTACCACCACCACCGACGACGACGACGACTACTACTAACGCTACTACTACTACTACTACTACTGCTACGGCACTATCTACAACAACAACAGCAACAACTACTACTACAACTACCTGATCATGGAGTTGGATGGGCACCAGCAATTGCGAGATTTCAACTGTGTGGAAGTCGGATCACCGTAATCGTTGAGATGCTCAGTCTAACATGGTCGCAAACCTGGAGAAGCGACGCGAGCCGGCCCGACACAATTGTGCTTTGCTGAGGCCGTCGGGTCTTTAGAGGCTGCACAGCTCTTGACGTTGCTTTGGTTCTGGCACCCTTCGTGCTGAGTATTTAACGTAGTATACCACGGTACCAGCACTGCTGGCAGTTTTGCCATCATACGCAGGTGTCGCAGGAGTAAGCCGCGGCGCTTTTGCTTCGGGCTTCGTCGACTGCAGGAAGACTTGGCTCATAGACAAGTCACACAGCCTCGAACTGCCAGGGAGTCTCGCAAACGCCACGAGCAACTGCCTCGATTCAGTTTGCGAGGTTTCAGGCTGTTTGGGTGGACTGGACTGATTTGTTAGTTGCGATTCGGCAGCAGAGGGAATGCTTGATCATTGCTTGAGAATGTCAGCTAGATCGCCAAGGCAGAGGAAGGAAGAAGCTGAGCAGAAGAAGCTCGAGAAGGAGCCTGCCCATATGGCATAAAGTCCTAGTCCTTGTCACCTTGTCCCTAAGCACAGCACGGTTAAGCAGCCTGACAAGCAGAGATGAGAATGCGCAATTTGCGAGTAGTGCATCTTGTCTGCATGCCACAGCAGTTATGTGGGCCAGTGGACTCCCAGGAGGAAGCAAAGCGACAAGCTCAGGCGAGCAAGACACCAAGCGTAGGATTGCACATCTTCTGTCACGGTTTGACACTGGGGTGCTTGCTGTGCGTGCCTATCTCACCTGCTTACAGTAGGCTCAAGATGTTCTACCAGACTCTGCCGACATGTCATCGGATCTACGAAGTTTGGCAACTTGCCCGGAAGGATCCAGGGGAAGCTGGGCGATATTGCTGAGCCCTGTGGGGTTTTGTCTTGCATTTGGATGCGCTTAGTACTCTTTGACCATATTCCCCCTTCTTCCAGACACAGTTCCAGACACAGCTTTCTTCGAAGGTTCTGTAGGAGAAAGCGTGGCAAGCCGAGCTGCCCCGGATACCTTGTCAGGCAGAGAAGGAGCAGCTCAAAGCGAAGCTTCCGCCAGCCAAGGATGCTACCTCTGGAGTGTGGAGCGTGGAAGAATGGATTCTGCTGGAAATGCAATTAGGAAGGTTCACATTCTCTCATAAGATTGATTTGTTTCTTGTAGCCGTATTCGCATATTTTCTTTGCAAGACGTTGCTGGCCGCCGAAAGTCGAAAGTCGCAAAAAGCCTCCGCGGTCATCAGCTTCACTGGGCTTGCAAGGATGAGCAGAAGAAAAAGAAGGAAGAGGAGGCCGAGCAGTGCTGCTTCTGCTCTGTGGGCACTGTCTGTCTACATATATATATGCACGTATAATACATATATGTATGTATATGAAAAGTATATATGTATGCATGCATACATACTAAGACATACATACTTATACATGTACCCACATCTCTTGTGTGAAAACTGTATACGTGCCTTCAACATACTCAGGTTAGCATGCATCTAAAGCGTACGGTGAACATGTATATAGTATACTGATATGAATATTAATATACATACATATATGATTAAATAAATAGGTATGTATATATATATATATAGATTTATGCATGCATGCATATGCATGCATACACACATGCTGTACAGAGACACGCAGGTCAGCGAATAATTTTGCATGTGAGATCGACGCAGGATGCGGTCAAAGCTCAGGAGGCTGCGAAAGCCAAGGAGGCCGAGGCCCAAGGGCAAAATTTTCACAGGGGTTGGGGTTTGTTTCGATCGGCTTTCGTTTTGGGAGTCTGAGAGGGAGGAGGACTACTGTTCATTCTGAACTGCGTGTCCGCATACTTCAAGGAGGCTCCGAGCTGCTGTGTTAGAGGGCCGTCCTTCGCAGGAGGCCAAGCGAAAAGAGCTCGCCGCCAAGGACCGCCCGACGGGAGACAGAAGCAATAGCACATTCTTGCCCGGCCTGGGGGTTACTCTACTACTTGTAGCAATGACGAAGATTGGAAGGATCGCTGCTAATGAAGGTTCTGATGCAAAAAATCTCTGTGCGCAGCCCTGTCTACTGCCAGGCCAAGCAGATCGCGGCCGCCAAGGTCACGACGAGCTAACAGTGCGGCAGCATAATTGTCGACTGGAGTCCCTGATCCTTTCGGGAAATGACACTCTCATGTGACAGCATTCCCGTAAGCGACTACCTGGTACACATCTTTTCTAACACTTGGATTGCTGGCCAGTTTGTGGCAAGCCGGCCAATTGCTGCGCGCTTGCAACGCTTCACTCTCTGTCGTTTTGCTGCCCCAGCTCGCTTGCACCGCTGGGAGGCGAAGGCGAAAGCAGCTGCAGGCTGTCCATGGATTCGTACCAGACTTCCTTTAAGAATCTGCGGGGTTCATGTCTCGATTTCCGGTTTGCAGCCTCGAAAAATAGCCGTGTGCCCGGTGGACCAAAAGTCCTGGTTGATGGCCTTGACCCAAGTTGTACTGCAGTCCTAAGATGTACGTACAAGTCTGTATTAGGTGGAAGCCCGCCGCTATACATGAAGAACTGGGTTAGACAAGAGACCAGACCGTATGCTTAGGAGCTTGCGTGAGGCTGCTGCAGTTCTTCATTATAATCCATTGGTTAGCGAAAAATTGCCAGCAATTTCCTCCGAAGCATGCAGCTGCAAGCTGGGGGATGAAGCTTTGCCAAGTCCTTTCATTGTTCTGGCTTCGACTCTCGTTCAATTCATGTTTGCATGTTTTTAGTGTGGTCAACCGCTGCGTCAGAAGCTGCCAAAGCCGCCGCGGCCAAGCCGACAGCGACGCCTGCAGAAGGCGAGGAGGTTCTTGCAAGGCTTCGGGGTTTGAGCTCGACACGTTTCCCTACCCGGCTGTTTTGTGCAAGTCGGTGTCTTGGAAGCCTTTACGGTCTCGGATTTGATCATGCCGTCCGAAGACTCTGGGGTTTTTGGGCATTGGAGAGCTTCTCTGGAACTTGTGATTCAGAATCTGCGGGAAGCTAGTGGTGCTCAGGTGCCGCAGGTGCTTCGCATGAGTCGATGAGTCCTGGCAGGCCGCTGTGGTAGTGTATGGGTTCCTATGGGGACCATGACAGGAGTGGACGAAACGACAAGGGCGATGACGATGGCGCGGACAAGAAGACTGAAGAAGAAGCAGAAGCAGAAGATGTCGATGATGCTGATGATGATGTGATTATTTACGCACCTGCAAGGATCGATGACATGAAGCTTCTGTTAAGGGTTGCTTGGTGCTCTCACTAAAGAGGCTTGCTAACTTCAGCACCCAAGGACAGCCGCGGCAGCTGCTTTCTGGACATGTACAGTATCAGATGAACTAGAGCTGCTGCGCAGTCAATATGTCATTTTGCTCTGCTTGGCCTTGATGCGTCAGAGCCCGGTGCTTCCTCGAAGGACCCCTTTGACTGATGCCGAATTTGCTGTCACAATAGGAGGAATACATTAGCTTTCAGAATGCCGATGGTGACAAGGCGCATCGCTCAGGCGTTGTACAGTCCTGTAGCTCTTTGCTTCAGCAACCGGGAGTTGAAATTGCTCTCCGAATTCCCCTGCTACCAGGGGACTCTCTGCCGGTGACTACGACATCGGCGAAGAGCACGCGACGACGGTGCCACGAGGGTAAGGCCTGCCCACATCCAGATCTTCTCAGAAATCTTGTAACCTGAAGAGACAAGGAAGGCTTGCTGTCTGTCCGTCTTTCGGCCGTATTCGTCTGTCTGTTTGTCTGTCTCTCTCCGCGCTTGCCCTGCCTCCCTGTCAGTCTGTCCATTGTTCTGCCTGTTCGGCTGTCTCCGTGGATGTGAGGCAGCTACTTCAACGTAAAGTCTGCATGCATGCGTGCATCCACTCGTTTACTCAGTACGTTTGTGTATATATATACACACATACACACACACACATATATATATATATATATGTATGTATACATATATGTATATATCCATCTATCTATATACCAAGAAGAGTTTGTTGAAGCCGAATGCTGTCCAGAGTATCTAAATCTTGTCGCGAGATTGCTGAGACCACGCTGCAGTTGCATAGCATGGTTCGTTGGCTTCATGGTGAAGCTAGGTGTTTGCTTGAAGGTTCGGTTGTCCACACTCAGGCTTACGGAGATGTGAGCCGCAGCAGATTGACAGATCGGGCACTTCCCAAATCGGTGCCAAACTTAGGCTCGTAGCTGCCAGACGGATTAACAGGGCATGGTGCATACATGAATGCGTACAGACATGTGTTCATGGACGGATGAACACATGTCTCGCATTCAGTGTCAGTCTAGCAGTTCGACTTCATATTGCAGCTCCATATGACACATCGCTCACTTGAGTTAAATGCACACCCACCCATGTACCCATCTGTCTATCCATCTACCATTCCTTGCTCACTAACTTTAGTTTTTCAGGTCATCCATATATGCATACACATGCAAATGAAAGCAGTTTTCTACAGATGTATACACATTCATGGCTGACTGTCTGTTTATTTGTAAATGCTTGCATGTCCTGATTTGTTCTCTGTACGCCCACACACATACATACTTACATGCGTATACATACATACATACATACATACATACATACATACGTACATATCATAACATGACATTACGTACATTACATGAAATTACAATAAGTTGCATTAATCTACATTCAGGTACATTGATTTACATTCAAGTACATTAAAATACATTAATGACAGCAAGTTACATTAAATGACATGAAGCTGCATAGAACTACACTGCAAGACAGCGCATGTACATTACATTGCATTACATTACATTACCCTACATAGCATACACACACATACACACATACAGACATACATGCAGACAGACAGACAGACAGACTGACGTACATACATACGTACGTACATACATACATACATACATACATATGCACATACCTACCTACATACATACATGCATGCATACTCACGTACGTGGATATACACGTATATGCAAAAATACATTCATAAACATACACATACTTGCAGGTCCACATAAACACATGCACGCAAACAAACAAACATACATACATACATCAACGCATGCACGCAATGCATACGTACATGCTTGCATACATACATATATCAACACATGCATGCAATGCATGTATACATGCATGCATGCATGCATACATACATACACACCTACATACATACAGACAGACAGACAGACGTACATGAATGCATGCATGACATACATGAATGCATGCATATGCACGTACCTTCATACGTACACACATACATGCATGCATGCGTACATACATGCATACCCGCGTACATGGATATACATGTAGTATACATGAATGCATGCATGCATGCATACATACATACACACCCACACGCACTTGCCCATAAACTCATAAACAGATAAAGATGCAGATGCATATACATATCGATATACACGCACACATACATACATGCGCAGGTTCATACATTCAGACATACATATGCATACATGCATACACGCACATTGCACAGACAGACAGACAGGCAGACAGACAGACCGACGGACAGACCGACAGGCGCACATGCATGTATCTTCAGAGACGCGCGAATGCACGCAGACAGCCACATGAGCAAAAGCGGAGTTAGATACATATGCAAAGCAATATGCACTTCGAGAAGCTAGCACGTTGCACGCGCCACTAGGTACCGACTCTCCATCTCAAGTTCCTTGACTGACCAGTTATCCCACGCTAGCCCACCATGCAATTATCTCACTGGCTGCCGGATGGCACTTTTGGGAAACATGCCAATGTAGTAGACATTAGCTTTGCGCATTTGCTTTTCAATTTTCTAGGTTTCACTTCCCACAAAGAGTGTGGCTCCGCTGGCAAACAGTCCTAGCAGTATGACAAGCCATAGGGTATCGAATTGTCTGCTAGTTGTGTCCGAGTGTGTCACTTGAAGCGTTCTTGTCTTAGCACCCTTCTCCAAGCCTGGCCATTTCTCGAAGATCTACTTGGTGCAGACGTGCGTTGATCAGCACAAATCTCAAGTCTTAGTTCCAAGACTGGACAAGCTTGCTCGGTGCGGCCAGAAATTCGCTCGGCCAAGGTCATGCATCGCATCAGGTAGGCCTCCACGAAGTGGAGAGCTGCCATAAATTCATAGACCCGACCAGTCGCAGCACGTTGGATTGCGAGACTACGAACGGAGTTGTTGATGGTGTTCATTGATGAAGTTCCCCTCTGCTTATGCATTTTGCCAACGTTACCGTCTCTTATGTTTATTTGGTATTCTTTCGCAACTTTGAAAGACCTCAAAAAGGGGCTGTAGCGCATCACTCGCATGCAGTGCGAAAGGACAGTGTAGATTGCCAGCTGCAATAATATTGTTCAGTAGGAAAGGCCATGCGGTGATGTGCGCCCCGTGTACCACGAGTATGTGTTTGTGTGCGTGTGCCACAAGTGCGCCTGACAAAAACTCGCGCACGGTGTCCGACATACATGTCCGCCCCCGCCTAACGGGTTGATGCGCGGAGTGGCAGTACATGCCCCTGGGTTGCAGCAAGCGCCGGCCTCACTGGGAGCAGCGCTCCAGCATTGTTAAAGGGCTTAGTGCAAGGTGCAAAGTGTGGGTGGCGCTTGCATGGCAACCCTCTTTCAGGCTTTGCAGTAAATCTCCGGGTCCGCTTGCGAATCGACGCAAAAGCGGACCCTTCACGGAGGCTTGCTATCCGGATGAGTTTCTGCCGGGGCGAAGATAGCTCCATGCAGCAGAGAAGGCAGAGGCCCATCTTGGTAACTTGAAGCCTCAAAATTTGGTGTAAGGACCCTCAGTGCCATTGTGAAGTCTGAATCCGATGCAGACGGTACGTGTGAAATCTTAGTCGTAGTCTGGCACCCCTGTCCTCTAGAGTCGGTGCTCTGGAATTGAGGCTCAAGGTCT